GGGTTTAGGGTTTAGGGCTTTCCCAGAGCCTCCAAAACCCCTTAAGTAAGGAATATACCTTAAGTTATAATAGGAACCCTAATAAGATGTAAGGTATATTCCTTAATTAAGGGATATTGGAGGTTTTGGGTTTGTTATAGGGCTCATACTGTAGCGTTTAGGGCTCAGAGGGTGTAGGGTTTAGGTTTCATAGGGTTTTAGGGCCCTAAACCCTAAACCCTCAACCCTAAACCCTTTAGGGTTTTAGGGTATATCGGATTTTGAAGAGGGCCTCGCAGGGTTTATGTTCGAAGCTTTAGGTGTGTTGGTGGCTTCAGAAGTGTCGAGTGTCGCGGTTTTTGCTCTCGAGACTGGGCCTCCGCAGTTTTAGCCTTTGCGGGGCCTGGGAGGTTTATTTAGGTTTTAGGAATTAGGGTTTATAACCCCTAAACCCTAAACCCTAAACCCCTAAACCCCTAAACCCTAAACCCCTAAACCCTAAACCCTAAACCCTATTTCTGAAGTCGTTTGAAAGGAGCATCATGAAAAGTCATCCGAGTCGAATCCCTAAAGCCGTGACCCAGGAAGACGCCAAACCGGAGAGCCGTGGGACCCTAAACCCTTAAGCCCGGTTTAGGGTTTAGGGTTTAGGGTCTAGGGTCTGGGGTTTAGTGCCCTGTAGAACCCTCGGATTTAATATAGGGGCCTAAATCATTATCCATACTGTTTGGGGGGGGGGCTCCTTTATACAATTAGAGTATAGAATAATATAGGGGCCGAAAGAAATACCAATACTATATGAGGACCTCTTTTATACCATTATAGTACAAAATACACCCAAACCCTATTCTAATTGTTAAGGCAAACCCTGAACCCTAAACCCTAAACCTTAAACTCTTACAGTAACTGAACCTCTACCCTGCGGAATGTCTTGCGGGAGGCCTCGCGATCCAGACAATCCTACGACTCGAGCGCTTTCCCCATCATGGAACCTTGGGCTCAAGAGGGGTTTAGGGTTTAGGGTTATTAGGGGGATTGAGCGGCCTGCCTTGTCTTTTGCTTCGAGCTTCGGGTTAGGAGTCGGCCTCTTCAACACCTCACAAACACTCAAAGAAGCCTGTGTTTGTTGATTTCGGGTTCGACTTTGGGCGTTTCTTGCCCTTTCAAAACTCACAGACCCTCATAAGATGGGGGTTTCCGAAAATAGGGGACCCTAATATAGTACCTTAAATAATAGGATCCTTATTATAAGGACCCCTAATTAAGGCCCCCCTTATTTCCGGAAACTCTCAAATGATGCCAACTGCAAGCTCCGAGCTTCCATGCTAGGCTCCAACGCGTAGGGCTTAGTGACGGGCTCTACCTTCAACTACCAAAACCTGCTCTTCCGTAGGGTCCCTGCAGATTCCATATTAGGGTTTACAATAAGAACCTGCAAAACAGGTCGGTTAGGGAAGCTTAAGGTAGGATTTAAGGTTTAGGGCCCCTAAACCCTACTTAAACCCTAACCATAGGGTTTAGGGTAAAAGGTACTTTAGTAGGGGCCTTAATAATTACCTACACTGTTTTGCGGGCTCCCTATAATGATTGTAGCATACTGTACACCAAGACCCTGTTCTAATTATTAAGGCCCCGCTATTATATACCCTAATAAGACCCTGATCAAAACCCTAAAAGTAACCCTTTAAAGGAACCCTATTCTAAATATGAAGACCCCAACGTTAGATCCTAAGCCCAGAAGCCCTCGCTTCCCTTTTTAATAAACCCCAGAGTAACCCCAAAACGCCCCAAGCCCTAAACCCTAAACCCGATGATGCCCAAAAAGCCCCAAGAAGGCTTTCGAAAGCCTTGCAGCCTTTAGTGAGCTCCTGCAGAAACATTTACAGGGTTTAGGGTTTAGGGTTTAGGACCATGTGGGCTATGTCCCCGACAACAGAAACCCCCAAAGCCCAAACCGGGTGAGGGTCTAGGGCTTAGGCCCCGCAGGCCACACCCCGCTTGTTAGTTAACCCCGACCTTACCTGGGCCATGTTGTTTGTAGGTTCCCTATAAACTCCAGATTCGGTTTTCTAAACACGAACCTACCAAACAAGAAAAAGTAAACCCTCAGCCCTAAACATCCTAAACCTTCAATCCTAAACCCTCAAGCCTAAGCCCTAAGCCCTCAATCCTAAACCTTAAACCCTAATCCCTAAAACCCAAATCCTCGACCCTAAACTCTAAACCCTA